AAGTTATTAATAAACTATTTTATAAATAATTAAGTTCATATATATATATATATATATATATATATATATATATATATATATATATATATATATATATATATATATATATATATATATATATATATATATATGCATATGTAATTGATTTCTGAAATAAATAAACTCAAACTCATATACAAATTATAAAAAAATGCAGTAAAGTAAGTAAAATGATTTATTACTTGATTTTTTAAAAGAAACATTTTTGAAAAATTTTCAAAGTTTTCCCTCATTGATCTTTGTTCAAATGAAAAAGGTATTTCTAATCTTCTATAAATTTAAATCAGTTATTCTCTGTAATCAATTCAATTTTTATGTTTTATATTATTCTGATCTTCTGCAGCCAATAAATTTAATTGATATATAAATCTCATTTACAGACTGTCTTAATATTATATATTTTTTTATCAATAAATTATATATTTTTAGATGACTGTTGACTCTTTAGCTTTGAAGAAACTATCAGTTTCAATCAAGTATCTTTCAAGAATCTCTTAGCAAGTTGTTATTTCAATGTAAAGCCACATAAGTCACAGCACAGCCCATGAGAAAAAAACAAAACAAGTAGCTGTGTTAGCGAACAGAGCTGAAGTGCAAAACTAAGTTTTCAAAAATAAATTCTCAGTGGCTTTTCAGATGGGGTAGTCGTACAATTTTACCAGTTGTGTTTACTTTTACTGTTATCACGCTGTGTGTATTTTTATACAATAAACTACAAGTTAAAGATAAAAAAAATGTTTGCTATTTGCGTGACATAAATCCTAGAGTTATCTCTGCAGGACGCGTCCTTCCTATTTTAGAGAAGAAAAAAATAAAGCTAGTGTCGAAAATTCAATTAAAAAAAAAAGTTAAAAATTTGTTAAATAAATAAAATTTATCTAATGTCGGTCTCAGAGTTATGTAGCCATGTGCAAATAATTTGTTGCATTTTTTTTTAATCAATTTAGAAAATATATTTTGTTCATTGCGCAGATCCCTACTGTTGGGGGTAATATTTACATATACTTAAAACATCCATTTCTAATCTAGTTTTAAAGAAAAAAGTTGTTTAGATCAGAGACACAAAAGATAAAACGGAATTTGTTGACATTACACAGAAATGAGAACAGTATATAGCTCTAGTTAAATCATAAAGCCACAGCCAACTATTTCATCAATTTTTTTTTTTTTTTTTTACTGGAAGACGATTTTTATTTGTATATGGCGCTGATAAAATTTTGTTGTTGTTGTAATAGTTTTACTGATTGCAAGTACCGCATCAAAAGTTCTTTCATTATAACTAATTTTGAATAGAACTTTTTTGAAAAATTTACTATAATGTATTTATTTAGTTTAAATTACTTTAACAACGACTTTGGACTTTGGTAGATTAAAAAACATCCAAGAGATAAAATAATATTTAACAATACTTCTTGAACCAAATCTATAAAAATAAAACATTTTTCAATAACATGTTTTGCAGGAAAAAGGAATATATGAAACAGCTGGGCACCTCTGGATGAAAAATGAGAGTTAAGATAAGCTCAGCTTCCTTTTTTTTTTTTTTACTTTTTTTTTTTTTTTTTTTTGATTTTTAAAGGCTGACAACGTTATAAGACTTCTTTTTGACCGTAATTCTATGGCGTTGTTAGTCAATTGTCCTTTTTTTCTTACATAATTAAACATCAGTTTAAACTAAAAACAAAAACACACTATATCTTATTAATGTTTGTTTAAAGGTAAAAATTATAAGTACCACCAAAATCTATAAAACGAAATAAAATCTTTATATAATATAATAAGATCTTAATATGATAAAAGTAAAAATGGAAAGAAGAGTACGAATAAAAATAAAAAAGTCATTTTTACGATATTTTTTGCTTAGTACAATCAATCTATTTAATATTTAAAAATTAAACTTAATTTAATTATTATTTCCTTCTACCATAATAAAAATTTTGGTTTAAAACTAAAGTTAAGTGGAAGTAAAAAAATTTTTATTTATATAAATATTTATTTAAAACATAATATTTCTGTGTATGCTATATAACAAAATATCGATATTTATGTAAGACCAAGATTGAACGCTTTCAATCTTTACGATGCTATTTTTTTTTTAAATCACGCTTCGTTTATTAGTAGATACTTTATATTACCAAATATGATTTACAACGCACATTGAGTGATGGAAAAGTGGCACATCGAAAACTAGCTTCTGTAACCCCATGAGTAAATTTTTTTAAGTAGGTAGTATTTGTGGACTGTTCTTATTTTTCTCTTTTGTTATTTACTTAGAAGTTATTGTTAAAAAAAGTGAAAATGAAGAACGCAGATACTCAAAGAAGACCATCAGGTCGTTTCACAGAGAACTGCAGTCAAAGAAATAAGGAAAAAAAATGTAATTTTATTGTTGTTGTTGTAGTGTTATTAACAACATGCATCAACTGAACTACTGAGTTATTCGAAACCCTCCGATTTTCAATTTTCAATAAACAATTTTTATAATTTTCTAAACATCACTTCTTGCGTTCATTGAATCTTATTTGTCAAATATAATCTCTGAAATTTTATTTGCTGAATATATTAAGTATAGTTTTGTACTCAGGTACTTTTAAACACACTTCCAGATTGTCCTAAAGTTTTAATTCTTTTTATTACAAATTTAAAGTTAATATTAAAAGTTCGTAATATAATATTCTTAATTAAAATAAAAATAAAACTCGGTAAATAATAAAAATCTATTATATAAATAAAATAATACGTGGAGACCATCTGGTCGTTATGTTATCTTTACAATCCAAAATTAAATTTAGTTTTTGAAGTATATAAATTTCGTAATACAATTTTATAAATTATAATAATAATAAACATTAATAAATATTAAAGGTCTACTAGAATAATTAAAATGAAACGTAGACGCTCACCAAGTCTTTACATAAATTATCAGTAAAAAGTTTTGCTGTAAATGAATATATATATATATATATATATATATATATATATATATATATATATATATTCATTTACTTGAATATATATATATATATATATATATATATATATATATATATATATATATATATATATATATATATATATATATATATATATATATATATATATATATATATGTATATGTATATTCAAGTAAATGATGCTCACCAATATATATATTCAACTGACGCTCATCAAGTCTTTACATAAATTATCAGTAAAAAGTTTTGCTGTAAATGAATATATATATATATATATATATATATATATATACAGGGCCTTCCCGAAGGGGTAGGGTGTCCCTCCTCTCCTAAAGCTGTCATATATGCATTTGAGTTGGCACAACTCAAATGTTTATACAACAAGCAAGTTTTGAACTAAAGTAGGCAAATTACAAATATTAAGGACCTTTTTTTTTTAGTGCTTTGTAGTTGGCAAAAAATACATACAACCACCCCCCCCCCCCTTCCTCCAATGGAAGACCTCTTCGGGACGGTCCTGTATATATATTTATATTTATACAAAATAAACATACAAATAGTCAAAAGCAGTGCAACTTTTAACACAATTCAAATTATGGTAATTACATAAAGTTTCTTACATTTCAAATTTATATTGAATAAAAGTTAAATATAATTGTGCATGACTGGGTATAATTCAAAAGTATATAAATATGTTTTCAATTAAAAAAAAAATTAATAGTAATATAGTTGACTTAATAAATGTTTGTTTAAAGCGCTTTGTACTTTATATAAAACTCCAATACATTTTGCAATTTTGTTGCATAACTGTCAGATTTAAATCTCCCATGATAAATTTTCATCAATGCACACTAAAAGAAAATAGTAGAAATTTCTTCTAAAGGTAGGATATGTGATATAACCTTAGTAAGGTATAATTGTCCATCTTTAAAATTAGAAAATCATAACTTTTTTTTTTCTTTTTTTTTTTATGTTGATTTAGGTGCCCCAAGAAGTCCTTACGGTCTTATCAAAGAGCACCGCGGAAGAGCATTTAATAGGAAATTCACGCCTCCTTCCCAACCGATATCGCAAAACTTGTCCAGGGGTTTGAACCACGGATCTAACTTACTAAGGGTGTATCACATATTCTCCCCTAAGGTAGATTTTTTACCTTTTTTTTTACTGTGTCATGACACCCAGAAAGTTGGTAGAAATTACTCTTTTTATTTGAATGTTTTTACTATAAAGAAGAGGTATATCACTTAAAAGAAAACTTTTTTAAAAATAGAAGTAAGTTCTGATGAATTCTTATTAGTAGGCTAAATAAAATCTAATTCAACAATCTGTCCTGAGGTTTTGAGGTTAAAATCAATGCATTTCAAGTATAAAATTTTGCTTTCTAGTTGGTATCTTTGAGCTTTTTTTTTCGACGACACGCCGTGGTTTTTATTCACAGTGTAAAGAGTTCAAAACTTTGAGTTAAAAATGGAAATAACAATGAAGAACATTGTTCAAAAAAAAGTTCAAAAGTTTAAGTTTAAAATGGAAATAGCAATAAAGAACATTGAAAAAATGATTTCAACTAAACTTGAAGAACGCAAAAATAGCATACTTAAAGAATCAGAATGATTATTAAAGAAAAAACATTTACTTCAATAATGAGTGCAAATCTTAAAATTAATACCAATAGATTAAACCTGATAGAGAAAGATAATAACATTAATAAATAGAAAATATCGAATATGGAAAAAGATATCAATGACATTAAAGAAACTCTTAACTTTCAAGAAGATAAAATATCAGAAAAAATAAAACAAATGAAAAAATACTATGATAAAAAAGTAAATATACTACACAAAAAAACAGTGGAGTTAGAAAATCGATCAAGACGAAATAATTTAAGAATAGATGGATTGCACGAAACACCAGGATAAAATTGGTATGAAAAATGCGGTAAAAGAGCTATTTAAAAAACAACTTAAAATAACAAATGAAGCGGCGATTGAACGAGCTCATCGTATTGGTCAACACAAACATAGAACAATCGTTCTAAAACTTTTAAATTTCCCAGATAAAAAACAAAATTCTCAACGCAGTAAAGCAGCTTAGAGGAACCAGCCTATACATTAATGAAGACTTCGCTCCAGAAACAACTGAACACTGAAAAAAACTTTGGGAAAAAGTAAAAAAACTAGCGAAGTATTTTAAAATACCGTATTTACATACGTTATTTTAAAATACAATAAAATGCTTAGTCGAGATTTCAAAAAGTTGCGCTGCGTTTTAATTTAATCTTTATTTTTTCTTTTTTAAACGAACACGTTTTTAATTTTCGCTTTTTAACTTAATGACATAAAGAAACAATAGATTTTGAATTTCGCAGCGCCTTAATGAACTTAACTTACTCAATGATTTTTGTGACGTACATACTAGGGTTAGGACTATTTTTATTGTTATTGTAAAAATTAAATACAATAACAATTACAATACAATAATATTGTATTGTAATACCAGAGATGCAATTAAAACATTATTTATGGTTATTGTATTGCTGTGAATATAAACAGTTACAATAACTAATGTATTGTTTTTTTTTTTAACAATACATTGAAGCACTAAAACTATTGTATTGTGTTGCTGTGATGTAATACGATAACATTAACTTTTGTAATGTAT